GGGTGCTTTTGAAGAGCATGGTTGATCTCACTTCCCTCACTAACTTGAGAATTGAGCAAATTTCAAAACTGACTTGCTTGCCTATGAGCATGAGTCTTCCATCATTGAGAGAGTTGTCTATTAGATACTGCAACAGGGTGCTTTTGAAGAGCATGGTTGATCTCACTTCCCTCACTAACTTGAGAATTGAGCAAATTTCAGAACTGACTTGCTTGCCTATGAGCATGAGTCTTCCATCATTGAAAGAGTTGTCTATTAGATATTGCAACGGGGTGCTTTTGAAGAGCATGGTTGATCTCACTTCCCTCAGTAACTTGAAAATTGAGCAAATTTCAAAACTGACTTGCTTGCCTGAGAGTTTTACACAATCCTGGACAGCACTTGAGACTTTGGATATTGCATATTGCGATGATCTTACTTGTTTGTGGGAGGAAGGAACAGAAATAAAATAAAGCCTCTTACCTTTCAATCTTAAACATCTTAGCCTCAAGTGCTGTACAGCCTTGGAGTCATTACCCAATGCAATCAAGATGAGGATGGATGGAAGCAGTAGCAGCAACACTAGTATGTTGATGTCGAGACTAGAAACGTTGGAAATTTTTTATTGTGACTCTCTCAAGTCATTTCCAAGAGGCAAATTACCCACCTCGCTTAAATACTTGAGGATAAGAGGTTGTAAAGGTCTTGAGTCTCTACCGGATGTTGATGGTGACTATAATAATAGCAATCTACATTCGGAAATATGTAATCTTCCATGTTTTTATTCTTCTCAGGGTAGTTGTCATCAGCTACCAGCTTTTCTCTAGGAATTTGAAGTTACTAATGGTGGCGAATGGCTGGAATCATTTCCAGAGAAGATGCTGCAACATTGTACGAGACTCCAATCCATTTCTATTTGGGCTTGTAAAAGATTGAAAAGTTTACCCAATCTTGATTGCGTCAGCAATCTCGTTCGATTATATATTCACAGCTGTGAAGTTTTAGAGTCCTTACTAGAAGAGTTGGCGTTATGCACCCCCAATCTTAATTCCTTGCAGATAAGATACTGTAAGAATTTCAAATCCCTCCCAAATACGATGCACCAGCTGAAATCTCTTCAAGGCATATGGATGTTTGGCTGCCACAGCTTCGAGTTCATTCCAGATGGGGGTTTGCCACCAAACCTAAAACAGCTTGAACTTTTTTACTGCCAGAATCTCAAGTGTGTGCCGAATTCAATGTGCCAGCTCACATCACTTGAGAGTCTATCACTCCTAGGTGAGGCTTTGACGATGGACCTCCAAAACCTTACGTCTCTTCGATCGTTGAGAATTGAACACAAATTGCCTCTGGATATTGTGTTGGCTTCTTCTTTAACCTCTCTTGCAATCTGGCACGAAGACAATTTGGAATCCATACCTGGGGGGCTATTCCAAAACCTAAGCTCCCTTCAATGCTTATTAATCCAGAGCTGCCCGAAGCTACGATCTTTGCCAAAGGAAGCCTTCCCTCCCTCACTTGCACGACTATCCATCGAGTGGTGTCCGCATCTAAAACGACAACGCTTTGAGGAAAAAGGAGACTACTGGAATCTCACCTGGAGCATCCCTTGCATTCGGATAACTGAATGAAAGGTAATATGAGCTTAGAGTGAACAGAAACATGCATCACCATTTTATGCTTTTCATATGAGAATTTAGAGAAATTATGTTGCCTTCTGTTGCCTTTTCTTATAAGCATTGCAAATCCTTTTTCCCCAATTGTTGAGGTAAATAAAGCCAAGCCACTCCTCAATGTTACTAGTACTTCATTCATTCCTTGGATTTATCAGTTGTACATACTATTTATTATTCACTTTAAAATGATTTCCCTTTGAAAACATGCATGCATTCACTTGCCTCAAAAATGGCTCACGCTTTCAGATTATTTCAAAGGGGATGAGTTGCTGGCCATGGCATTAAGGATTAAACAACCTTGTAACCTGTAAGTATTCAACTTACCTCTTTAAAATTTTATTGTGATGCCTATTTGCTTTGCTTTTGTTATTGCTTAGAAGAAGGAATCAAAATTGATATATCAGGCTATCTCTATAGTTCATTTTACTTGAGCAAAGTTATACATTTTGATGATATACTGGTCTATTCCTCTGCTATCTATGATGTTACCTACCTCAGAATTAAATGATTATTTCCCATTGCATCCTTCTCTTGATTAATACATATGGTTGTGTTAAAAATTATCTAAATTTCTGTCATTTATTGTATAATTTTTAAAATATTTTTCCCAGATCCTATAGATTTCTACAGCTTTGTGTTATTATTTTACTTCAATTTCATTTCAGCAATTCACTTATCCATCTTTCCTTTATATTTTACAACTAATGCTTTTT